GGTTGACGCTTTCGTGGGGGTGGGGGTTTCGCCCACCATGAGTTGGTGCATGAAGATCTGGAGGTCCCGATGGTCGCTGGTGGCATCCCCTTCCCGAACGTCGGCATTGCCCTCTGCATTGCCCGCAGCCCCCTTGACGGCCCCCGCCGGCGCCGCCGGCGCCGGCGCCGCGGCCGCCGCTGCCTCCTCCTCCTGCTGCTGCTGGTGCTGGTGCTGCTGCTGCGCCCAGAGCTGCTGCGCCGCCTGGCGCTGTAGCTGCAGCTGCACCTGCTGCTGCGCCGCGGCCGCGGCCTGGCGCTGCAGCTGTAACTGCGCAACGGCGGCGGCCTGGCGCTGCAGCTGCAGCTGCAGCTCCTGGCGGGGGTCACCGGACGCCGACCCCTCAACAGACCGGCGCGGCAGTGATAGCCCCTCAGGCACAGACGAGCGGCCGCCGATGGAGCTGTTGCTGGGCGCCCGGTGCTGCAGCTGCGACAGCGCCGCGGCCGTCCCCGTCCCCGCGCCCCCGCCGTCCGCCGCCGACGCGCCCACACTCGCGGCGCCCGCCGGCGCGGGGCCGGTCCGCATCATGGCTGCGGCGGCGGCGGCCGCTGCGGCGGCGATGATGGCGGCGGCGGGCATCGCGATCGCGCCCGCGGGCGGCTCGGCGCCGGGGTTGCAGATGGCGCCAAGGTGTGGCACCATATCGCAGAGCTCCCGCAGGGCGTTGGCCAGGTGAAGCACGTCTGGGCGGGCAAAGGTGTGATTTTTTGGGGGGCAGGAGGGACAGCGAGGGCCTTAGCGCCGGCGCTCAGGCGGGGCCAGGGCCTAGACACTGCCAGGCACGAGTGCGCCGCGCCAGAGCCGCACACGCGGCGCCCAGCGACGCCCGTGGTCGGCGATGCGCGACTGCTTCTCATCGGAGTGGTGGCGCGCGGGCGGGGCGCACCTGCGGCGTTGGGCGACCTGTCAATGAGGATCGCGGCCTGCTCTGGCGCCAGCACCGTGGTCAGCACTGTCAGCGTGAATTCCCGCGCCAACCGCCCCTCCGTGACCACGCCGGCCTGGGTGTGTGTGGTGTCAACGCGGCGCACGCGGTGAGCATGTGCGGCGTGGGTGGGAGGGCAGGCTGGAGGTGACGCGCGCGCGCGCGTGGGCAGGGCCGCCGCGAACCGAGAGCACGCGGCGGAGCCGGCGCCGGCGCTTGCCCGACAGGCGGCGCCGCGACGCGCGCCGCCCAGCGACGACACAGGCAGCCTGCAGGCGGCTGGTGTTGCGCATGGCTAGAGCACAGGACCAACAATCCACACACAGCCGCCCCACAGGCTGGCCAGCGGCGGGGCCCCCGGGTCACGCCCTCCACTCGCCTGCATCTGGGTTAGCGCCTCGCGCGCCGCCAGGCTGCTGTGGGCAACGCTGTCCACGTACCCCCCCTGCTGCAGGTTGGGCCCCGCGCCCGGCGGCGGCGGCGGCGGCATTGCGGCTGCGTCGCGGCCGGTGCTGCTGGCCATCGGCTCGGGCTTGATGCCGAGGCTGCCTGCGGGCGGTTGGGCGGGCGGGCTCCGAGGGATCAGGGCGGGCAGGGGCCACGGCGCAGCAGGAGCTGCTGCAGGCGGACGCGATGCCGCGCGCCTGGGCCGCAGATGTGCGGACAGCTGTGCGCATGTGGTTTATGCTCCAAACAAGGGGGCCCTGTTGGCACCATGCAGCGCCAGGTAGTTGGAGAGCCACAGGCAAACCACAAGCAAACCACACACACACACACACACACACACACACACACACACACACAAAACGCACATGCACACACACACATGCACATGCACACACGCATGCAACGCTCACGAACACTCCCTCACGTGACCCCCCTTCCACACACACACCACCACACACCAACACACACACACACACACACATTCAAACACACACAAACAAGCACGCACGCACGCACGCACACACACACACACACATAGAGCAGCCAGTTGCACATGCTGTGCACACAGCAACACACACACACACACGTTCGCGCAAGTGGAAGGGAGCGGGTATGAAGCTGTGTGTGGTGCACGCGCACACATTGACACGCGTGCTGGAGTCCCCCGCGCACCCGCGAGCAGCCTCTCCGCGAGCGCCCTCCTCTCCGCCAGGCAGTGGCCCAGGCCCTCCAGCAGCTCGGCCCGCAGCCGCAGCAGCTCACGCATCTGGTCGTCACCCAGGCTGATGTCAGCGAGCACCTGTGGAGCACAGGGTTTTGGGGTGGACAGGGTGGACGGGGCCGGCGGGCGGGTGTAGGAGGGTTGGAGTCGGAGTTCGGGCGAGGGGGGGGTGTGAGGGCTGGTGTGAGGGGCGATTTGGTTTTGTCGTGACCGTTTTTGGTGCCACAAGCTGGGGGGCTGGGTATCAAGGAGTGTGGGGAAGCTGGGGCTGCCATGTTGAACGCAGGGAGATTGGACGAGGCATGACGACTTGCGTGTCCCCGAGGCACAAGCCGTGTGACCGCGCTCGGGCCGCGCAGGGCAGCGCTCAGGCCCCAGGGTGGCGGGCACCCCCGCACCTGCAGCCACTTCTGCTTGTCGCCGGTCCGGTCGGACGCCAGCGCCTGCGACAGGCCCCCCGGCCCGGCCGGCGGCGCAACGCCGTTGGCCGCGCCCTCCGCGGCGCCGTTGGCGGGCGGCGACGGCGCGGCACCGGCGGCGGGGCGGCCGAGCGGCCAGAGCGCCTCGGACGACGTGATGTCGATGGCGGCGGCGGCGCTCTCGCCGCAGTCGCGCACGAGGTCCTGCAGCTGCGCCGCCAAAGACACGTCCAGGGGCTGGCCTGCGGGGGCCCCGGGAGGATGAGCGCGAGGGGCAGCAGAAGCAGCGGCTGGGGTCGGCGTGGGCGGCGACGACGGGCACTCGCCGGGGGCGGCTATTGGGTAGAGCCAGCGCTGGAGCTGGTCGTGGGCGCGTCCAGGTTGGTGAGGGCCCGGCCCTTGCTGGGCAGGGCAGTCCGCAGTCGGCGGAGGCTGTGTCTGCCGGGGTGGCTGGCTTGGGCGGAAGGTTCTCGTCCAGCTGGGATGATCATGCACAACACACGTGAACACGCACTCACACGTGCACGCACATACACACATGCACACACACAGAAAAGCACGCACACTATGTCATATCCCTCTGCCCCAGCCTCTTACACCAGCTCGTGCGCACCTGAAGAGTGGATCTCTTTGATTCGGTTCTCCCTCACAAACGCCTGCACCGCGCTCACACGCGCCCTGTAAAGAGCGCCGCTCGCCCCGCCTGCCCAGCCGCCGCCGCCGCCGCCGCCGCCGCGCTCGCCGGCGCCGCGCACTGGGCCGGGCTCCCCGCTGCCGGCCGCAGCGCCGCCGCCGCTGCCGCCGGAATGCTGCTGAGCAGAGTCCCCGTTGTCGTGGATGGACACTTTGGCAGCCATGAGGGCCGCTTCCAAAGCCATGACTTGGGCCTGCAGGGCCGAATTCCGCTCCTGCATCTGAGAGAGGGACACCTCAATGGTCTGCTGCCGTTCCTTCCGCCGCTGCCTGCGCGGGGCCCGGGCGAATC